TTTTTGCGTGGTTGTAAGGTCGAAAAAACATGCTAAATTTTCATTACCGTTAAGCGAAGCATTAAAAAATGTACTTTTTCGAGGCTTCTGGAGCCTACTTAATAACTTTTTAATTTTTTTACGATATACCATCCAAAAGTTTTAATGGTGTAGCATATTTTATTGTGGTTTAGAGAGGGAGACACATTTTTGGAAAAATTTCGAGACGTTTCATTTGTGAAGCCTACTTTCGATACTTTTGAATAGCCCGAGACAAATCATTTTTTTTATCAAAGTGGCCCACTCGGAGCGGTTCGAATTTGGCCGTTTCGTATTCCAGGGTGATCGAGTACATTGCCCGATTTTTTTTACACCCTAGTTCAGTTCTGGTTAGTCGCAATACAGTCGTGAATACAGCGAGTTCCTCTGGACCAAGAAAGTGGTCATTACCGTAACGCACTTTGTCTTGGAACGAGATAAAATCATCGACAGGGTCTATTCCATTCGAAGGCGTATGGTGTGCGGAGTATCCAAACAAAATTTCGTTGTGAAATTCCCACGTGGGGCTTTAGAATCGCCAAAAAAGATGCGTTACGGTAATGGCAGGCCTGTCATTACCGTAACGCATCCTGACAATTTTTTTAAAATCTCATTGAAATTCACAAGGGGTTTGCAAAAGTAAAAATAGAGCCGGCCCCAACAGTTTACAGCTACCTTAGACCTTCCACAGCATCAGAAAAATACTGAAAAAATGGTTATTGTTAAATTTGCTTCGTCTCATCTTACACCCCAAAATATCCTGTTTTTTGTGAAATGACCCATGTATGGCTACTATTTATACCTTTGATGATTTTGAAGAAAATACATTTTTTTTAGATTACATGTCATGATATGAATTCGTACGTCTGACTAAAAAATTTGAAATAAAAAAATTATTAAAAATTTCTAAGAAATACGCTTTTATTAATGGATTTAAAAGAAAAATATAATTTTTTTTAACTTGATTATCGGCTAAAGCTTTACCGATAACAATTAGTAATAAGCCAGAATACTAATCATGATTTATGTGATGCTAACTATCTTCATGTATTCATTATTCAAGGGCCCTCGCTTCTAACGGAACTAGATAATTTTGATATTATTTGGAATCTTCCTCCCGATTATATGCATGGAGCACTTGGGGTCACGAAACAGTTGCTACTTGAATGGAAGCATGATTTCACAAAAAATGATTTTAAACAGCTCAATACGCGTATAGAGAATTTAAGGTTGGTTAGAGACCTACGCCGGTTTCTACGTACGCTAGAATTTATGTCAAAATACAAGGCACTGAAGTACAAAATATGGTTGTTGCTAGCTGGTCCAGTTTGTTTGAAAGGAGTGTTGAATGAAAGAAATATGAATCATTATTATTGTACGTTGATAGCATATATACACTCTTACAAGATAATATTTCGCAAGAGGACCTAGAACGTTGCGAGTATAATTTATTGAAATTTGTTGGGGAATGTCAGATTATTTATGGAAAAACTTTCTGCACTTGGAACCTCCATAGTCTACTCCATTACACGATAAGTGTAAAAAAAACTGGGCCATTATGGGCAACATCAGCTTTTCCATTCGAAGGGGCGATAGGACTTTTTATGAAAGAAATTAATGCACCTAATGGTTGTTGTCAACAAATGGCTGAAAAGTGGTTACAAAAAAACATGTTGGAAAACTTTGTTGACAACAACACCAAAAACTCCTTGTCATCTGTTAATTACTGTAAGGTTATATTGCAAAGACGTCCACCACTGCAATATGCAACTTCCGTTGGAAATGTAACTCTTGTCGGTAAAGGACTAACAGTTGCACATGTGCAGAAAAGTGTTAGAAATTTTTGTAAAAAAATAGTGTTTGAGTTTTGGTTTACCATAGATGCATCTACAATGATACACTCTATCACTCCGTAGGATACAAAAGAGCAAAAAAACAAACGATTCTATCGTACAATTACTTAATGGAAAAGTTATAGAAGTAAATTACTTTGCCCTTGCTGAGGAATCTTCGTTCGTTTGTGGATTCGAATGGCTTACTTCTAGTAATGGGCTGAGTAATCAATTTGAATCTCTGCCTCATCATATTTTAAAAGTCTGTAAAAAAAAGACAAAACTTGAAGTATTTAGCACAAATGAAATCAAAAGAAAAGTTATCTCGCTGAAGGTTTTGGAAGAGCAATACATCTCATACTTACCAAACAATCTTGAAACGCATTAGATGGTAAGCTTCAGATATGTATAATTTCATGTAATATAATACGTAAAACAACTGTCCCTGTACTACTAAGGCCAATGTGCAAAAACCACGTCACTAGTACGGTGGAGTAGGGGGAGACAGAAGCGAGAAAAATGTATGCAGAGAGTGTCTTGGTTGGTTTTCAAATATATAAAATAATATTTTTAATTCAAGAATGCAAAACTGANACTGTAGTGCGTGAACTATACTACCGTTGCTTCTTAGTTTGATGATTTTGTTATGTCAAGTGTTTTTACATAGTAGGCAAATTGTTTTTTTTGATATCTGACTAAATTAAAAAAATCAGTCTGAGATCCATGTGTTGTATCAAAAACAATAGTATAATTGCTCGAAACTCAAGTACTCTCTTTATCTTTAGACCATTCGATTTCATTTAATGAATTTTTTTTATTGCTTTACCATAGAGTAGGCTTTGTGATTTATGACACATCACTGTAACATATTAACCTACAAATAAATCTTTTGTAATGTAAAATCGATGCACATTACTGTGGCAAGCATTTTTTATTATACGGTTATGTATTGATACTTGAAAGGTAACAAAAAATGTTTGTATTCGTAAAAAAAACGGAGGATGGTTCCTATCACAGAATAACAGATGTGAAAATACCTCACTTAGAAATACCATTCAACAAATTCAAGAAGTATAAGGTTGTACTCCTGAATGATCCAGTACCCTTTGATGCTAGCGTTATATTTACTGCCGGTATTTTTTTTCCTCTCTTTTATGATAATGTTATCTTTAAATAATTGTCCTGACTGTGATACATATTTACAGAGACACTTGAACAATTAGATGAAAAAATTTTGAAGCTTAGAGTAAGTGCGCCATCAAGTGCACTGTTAGAATCTGCATCAGATTTATCTGAAATTGAGTTACCCTCTTTGATTAAAAAAAAAACGTAGACACTAGTACACAATTACTGCTGGACAAGAAACTTCAAGATTTGGTAAGCTTTACACATATTTAATATTACAATATTCGCAGTATACTACGAGAATACATGGGTACATCATATTATTAGTCCTTATCATTGTATGCATGCGTGCATATATACAAATATGTGAAATGTATATTTACTAGTATAGGAATCAGCTTCCTTCCACCAAACTAGGAGTACTATTGACTACGTACTTCTTTTATACGCAGTGAATTACAATTCATTTACCCCCCACGTTAAATACAAAATTAATTAAGCAGTTCTTTACCAAAGACATTATGTATATTTGAATTATCACCTACTTCTTTTTCCTTAATTTTGGATGTTTATATAAGTTCTGACATAGTTTACAGCAACCGAAGCGCGTGTCCAAAAGATCTTTTGATAATTTTACCTAATACTTAAGCAATTTCGACGTTAAACTGTAAAAATTATTACTCTTCGTTATCTTTACTCAACTATGATAGAAAGAGGTTCACATTTTCTGAAGGTGTCTATACACTTGTTTATTATAAGTATTTGCAATACCGAAAAATATTCCATATTTCGAAAACCTTCCAAACTTGCAGGAGTGTACAAGGTCATGGAATGTTTTTTTGCAACACGATATTTTTTTAAAATTTGAAAAGAAAGTAAAATTAAGTTACCGATTGTGAAAAATTTTTGAAATAGGCCTTGATTAAAAAAAAAGCAAGTAAAAAAACATATTTAAATAAAAAATTCTTATGGTATGATATCTATTGTATCATCGAAATTTTAAGGAATTTGTTTTTTGGAATTTCAAATGTCTGCTACTACAGTATAGTCTTAACTTTTTTTTCAATTAATATAAAATAGAGCAAAACCATTATTCCCGACGAAACGCGCGAAATAAATATAGAATGCAAATTAAAGTGAGTCAGAGCCGTCAAAGAAGAGACATGAGGATTATTTGAATAACATAGAGGTTTAATTTTTTTACTGGACAAAATAGTTTTTATAAACTTAACTAAATAGTGTTAATAAATGATTTCACACATGATCTACTAGTCATTTTTTAAATATTTATCGTTTTCTCTGTTTAAAAACATTTTTTAATGTAACATAACCTTATTATCTAATTGTGTAAAAGTCAGTTCAGAACCAGATTATATTTGTCCAGGTTGCCTGAGCTGAGGCTTCCTGTACAGGAGCCTGAGCAGGTCTTGTGCACATCGTTGGATAAAATTCCATGAAAGCCTGAGCAGGTCCTACGCAGGCAGCTCAGGCACCTGTGTCCAGGACCTATTCAGTGACTGAACTCAATTTCTGTTCGGGATCATGCACGCCCCATAGACATATAAGAAAAATTGACTGCTCGTTCTTGTGTACGGCGCTAAAGCACTAGTAGAAGGAGACACAACATTGAACGTGGCTATCTGTCTCTTTCGCACATTGCCAATGGTGAGAGCATGCGAGAGAGATAGATACCCACGTTCAATGTTGTGTCTTCTTCTACTTGCGCTTGAGCGCGGTGCACAAGAACGAGTATTCTATTTCTCTTATATGTCTATGGCACGCTCTATTGCGCTCGATGTGACTGCAGCCTTATACGGATAATTCAATCCTGCACGATTAGTTGTGACTGCAGCCTTAGTCTATGAATGTAGCAGTAAAATTGTTTCGTTGATTCTGCTTCTCATTCTTTTCGAATGTACGCAGCACTCGATAATGATAATTTTAAACAATTGACTTGGTTGTATTGAAAAAATCGTAGGTTAGTAATTGTATATTTTTTCCATGAAGTTACAAATTTTATTTCTATTCTCAATTTATTTCATTAATTATAACAGTTCTCTAGTCATAAGAGCCAATGGTTTTTGAAGGCATATGTTCCACTTAAAACATTGTTTTCAGTTAAATAGATTATACTTACATTTGGATTTAGCTTATTATTGGTGATGCACTAATTGAAAAATTCTATTGGAACTCAATTACTACTAAGGTTTCTGTGCTTAAAAAATTTAGTTAGTTACGTACTATTTGTTAGTAATAGTTATTTTGCTGTTGCTTTTCAGTATGCCTTTTTTTAAAGCTATAAGTGTTGCTGTCATTTGTTCGAGTAATATGAATAGAAGTATGGAGGCTCACGCTTACCTTAGGTGACACTTTAAACCTCATAGTATGAGAACTTTCACACAATTCAAAATTAAACTGAATGTTATTATTTTTCACACTACTTGCAGCAAAGAAGGTTTTAATGTTAAATCTTTCGGAACCGGTGATAAAGTAAAATTACCCGGTAATGCTCCTGATCGTCCTAATATTTATGACTTTGACACAACATATGAAGAAATTTATAATGATTTACTGAACAAAGATAAACAGTAGTATCCTATTTTATAATTCTTATCTGGTTACATGTCCTTAATACATCAATATTCTCGATTGTTCCTTGACATTATTAATTAGTTATACACAAAATGGTCTTCTACATATGTTAGACCGTAACCGCAGAATAAAATTAAAACCTGAAAGATTTCAAGAATCAAAAGACAAATTTGATATATTAATAACCTGTGAAGAGCGAGTGTATGATCAAGTAATAGAATCCATGGAATCTAAGGTTCAAAAAGATAACCGACCTGCTCATTTGATAAACATTGACATTCAAGATAATCATGAAGAAGCTACTGTAGGGTCTTTTCTTATTTGCGAATTAGTTACAGTGGTAAGAGAGATTATATTTTGTAATCTTATTATGAACTGTTGTGTAATATTTAATAAATTTCATTTCAGCTATCCAAAAGTGACGATCTTGATAATGATATTGACGAACTACTTCATGAATTTGAGTCCAAATTAGATAAATCGATGTTACATACAGTTCTTTTTTATTAAAGTATATAGTTTTTATTAATAATTCGTTATGCAATGGATAACATATTTACCTACAGTCATAGAGCCTTAGAACAACTTAGTTTTTTTTTTGTTATTTACATTTTTTAACAACAATAACATTTATGAGAATTCTGTTTCATCGTAAGTGATTGAGCCAATAAAAAGAATATAATCATCGCATGTATAAGGTTAAACGTTATATTCCATCAGTGATCCAGAAAAAGTTATCCAAATATATTTTGCATACAACCTTAGAGCATATACTATACTGGAGTGAGCATGCAAGCAGCTGAGAGCGTGACAGGGCGACCGAGTGTATAGACCACCCCGACCCTAGCCCACAAAATGTTAAAATTTGCAATAAAAAAAATATCAGTACACGTATTTTGAACTGCACATTTCGCCTGTACAAATTATTTTAATTGCACACGTCTGAAATGGGCAAAAAAAATTAACAAACATCAAGCACTTTTAGGGAGACACTAAACGGTCCATATCTTCGTAATGAAGGCGAAAGTTAAACTCTACAAATGTTTTTAAAACGTAGTGTTTATGCAGTATAAAAATTATTATGTATGTATTACATAGAAAATAAATATTTTAAAAAATGTATNAATTTCATGTAATATAATACGTAAAACAACTGTCCCTGTACTACTAAGGCCAATGTGCAAAAACCACGTCACTAGTACGGTGGAGTAGGGGGAGATAGAAGCGAGAAAAAGGTATGCAGAGAGTGTCTTGGTTGGTTTTCAAGTATATAAAATAATATTTTTAATTCAAGAATGCAAAACTGAAGTCTATAGATGTAAATATTGGGTGAGAAAAATAAAATATGTATAATTTAGTTATTTTAAGACAACAAATCAGTAGAGTATCAATTAAAAAGATTGTATACTATTTGGTTTGCAGTAGTTTCAAGTAGGATGTGTAACGTTTGTATTAGACAGTTCATAATGTCTTCATTGATAAAAAAATTATGTGACTGATAATTATAGTGATTGTAATTAAATTCAAAGATGAAACATAACGTTACTAGAGCCTTTATATTCGTCGTATGATTGGTCGAGACTCGTCACACGCGAGCAAACTTGAAAACACAAATTTTAAGATTTCTTAAGATTTATATAAATGATTGTAAAATGAATAAAATTTAGAGAAATTATGACTAAGTAATTATTACTGGTATTATTACTATTTTTTTTTTTTTTAATACATTTATTAATTGTGACTTGCACTTTCCCATTAATACTTTCGCAAAAAAGTCGCCTATACTAATATACTGGAGATACTTTTGAGTCTATTCAAAGTGACAGCGCGAGACCGCGATATAATATATATGGTGTATGGGACTGATAATATACCTTGAACAAACGCGCTGGCGAACCATCTTAATTTGTCAGGTTTAAGTATCTCCAAAAACGTTTCAATTTCTTTATTTGCGAAACTGCAACGCTAAGGACGCTCGTGGCTCCAGTTCACTTTTTTTTTATGAACTGTGTATTATTTTGAAAGTCAATATTTGGCAGCCCTTTGAAAATCATTGACCATTACTAAGTTCGATGAGTATGTGTAATAAATGATTTTAAACAACGGCCAATAATTTATCAGAGTAAAAATTTTTTTGTCTATCACAAAGCTCTCTCTAGGGGTCGCACACCAAACGTTTTGGTGAATGTAATAAAGAAACTTAAAAAATTGTCGACATCCAAGAAAAGTTATTTTATAAAAAATTAATGTATGGTGTACTGTGAGGTTGGCTTTTTTTTATCTCTCATATCCATTATAGTATATTTTATTTAGGATAACAGTAAAATATATGTCAAAATCTTAGAACTAAGTTTATATCTGAATACTATTATTCTTCCAAACAAGAGTTGGCAGTGGCTTTTGTAAGGATATCTATAGAGATAGTTGATGTGTAAGGTCCTAAATAGTACCATTAAAAGGACTGCGTGATATTAGACACTAATACTAAAAAAAATAAAAATATAGACTACAAATATTAATCTACAATGGTATCAAATAAGTCGAAAATAACAATTTACGGGTTTTAATGACATTGCGCCTAGATAATTCCTACAAACTAACAAAATACATACATCTAAGTGGCAAAAATCACACCTAACTTGATAAAACTCAGTCTTAAATTTCTCATATTTTTATATATTTCTTACACTATATTAGATTGGAAGATCATGAGTATTTATTATACACCATTAATTATACATTTCAGCAAACCAAAAAATTGAAAAATAAACAGACAGCCCATTTAATACATACCAATCAAAAACCTAATGAGTCAAAAAAGACAAAGATATCTATGGAAGGCAAATGCAAAGAAAACAAAATTGATTCTGTAAAGGGATCTAAAAAGAGGAAGTTGGTGAAAGCAAAATCTCCGCAAGCCACGAAAATCCTTAAAACTAACTTCTCAGAAAATCAGAACTCTCGTGAAAATCTCTTGCATGTATCTACTGATGATAACGAAGCCATGATGAAGTACGATAAGGAACTAAATCCTGAAAAAAACAAATTGTCACCCAAGAACCCTGGAGCACCTAAGGTACAAGAGTATTTATATAAATACTCTAATTATATGTAATTAATTAAGAGATGGCACATTGTGCTTTGTAGTGATTATGATTATGTATTTACAGCAAGATTCTGTGTTAGTAAGTGCTGAGGTGATTTCCAAATCCACATCGAACAACATCAGAAACCAAAATATAAGTATCAACAAAAATAAAACCCCAACATCACACTCCAACGATACATGTCGTAAAATAACTGAGGAGAAAGGAAGTACAGGAAACAAGAAAATTTCCGTGGTGATTGAAAGTAAAGAAGCCTCAAATAAGGTTATGAAACATTCACCCAATAGTATTTCTGAACAAGATCTGAAGAAAGAATTAGCAAAATGTAAGACAGAGTTGTAAGAAAAGGATAGAAAATTACAGTGGTACGTTGAAAACTACAGGAAAGAGAAAGAAAGAGCAGAGCAGCTAGAACTGCTGAATATTAACCTGCAATTGAAAATCTTGGACCGCATTGATGGCTATGGTAAAGAATAGCTAGGTTAAACATGTTTGTAAATGAACTAGTATTATCATAAGCAAAGTGTTATAAAATAGAAGTAATGGTTAAAGTGGCTCATCACGATGGTATCTTATGAATACAAGGGTCTTAATTACTTTAATATCTATGTATGCTATTGCTGTAAATAAATTTGCATATACTTAACTATCCAAGCATACCGCATCCAGTAAACTCATTTTTTCGTTGGTAGAATTAGGTAACCTTCTTAAAACCCGTCTACCATCTATTATAACATATAAAAAAATCGTTTTAAAAATAATGAAACCTTAATGTTCTGCCCTCATTTATACAACAAAGAATAAAAACAAAACGTCGTGTTATTACGTGAAACAATTATTTCTTTTTATGTACGTGATTGATATCTGTTGTGTCATTTAAATTTTGTACATATACACTAACTGCTGCGCGTTTGCTCATGTGCGGTAAACATGTCATTTGTGCTAACTATAAATGCAGTCACCTTATCTATAGAATATTTCATAATATAGCTTGTAGCCTGGTAGCTGAAGCATCAAAAAATAGCCAATAAGGAACAAATCGGAGATAGCGTCCAAACTTTGCAGATCGCTTCGTATTATGGTCTGTAAACATGGAAAAATAGTTTTGTCCAATCAAACCACGGGCTTCAATTGTTATTAAACAATTAGTAAAAATTTACNTGCAATTAAAATAATTTGTACAGGCGAAATGTGCAGTTCAAAATACGTGTACTGATATTTTTTTTATTGCAAATTTTAACATTTTGTGGGCTAGGTCGGGGTGGTAGTGTATAGGTACCAGAGAATATAGAATATATCTCTTTAAGTATAGAAGGCCAGGGCAGGCCTTTTCTTGTTTCCAACTTTTGAGGCACATAAATTTAGTTAGAGTTAGGTACCCCATAAGGCAGGTGGCGTTAGCGTTAGAGGTAGTGTGGGGTATCCAACCTTAAGTCACTAGCGGAGCAGTAGTAAATCTCTAGTCTATACAGTATATGTAACCATGTACCGCACTACATTCAGTGCTTGTTCGGCCGCCCACTTAAGCGGTTCTCCTGTATTACAAGACTCGATAATAAATAAGTTGTACACTAATAACCAGGACGTATAATCTTCCTTGTTGTAGAATCCTTATCCTGGGGAGCTCCTGCTGGACCTTGCATTATATATATATA